GAAAGAAGAGAATGAGAATGGGGAGAGGCAGCAAGGTAGATTAGGGGAGTTCACCTAAGCCAGGGTTTCTTAAATTGTGTGTTCTCAAAAGCTCTGAAAGCTAAACAGCTTCCTTTTTTAAGTGAATTTATTCTTGCTAGGTGGCACAGTGGATAGAGCACCAGGCCTGGAGTCAGAAAGACTCATCTTCCTGAGCTGAAATCTGTCCTCAGACACTTAATAGCTGTGTGACCTTAGGCAAGTCACTTCACTCTGTTTGCCTCAGTTTACTCATCTGTAAAATGATCTAGAGAAAAAAAATGGCAAACCACTCCAGTATCTCTGCCAAGAAAACCCCAAATGGGGTCACCAAAAGTCAGATGCAACTGAAATGATTGAACAACAACAAAAATTCTTGTTAACCAAGCTACTGAAGAATAAGTATCATCACTGCCTGTCCCTCTACATTCAGTGCCTTGGGATATATCCTTGACTACCCCACCATTCTTATGGCCAAGGTAGTGAGAAGAGTACTAGATTTGGAATCAGAAGATCTAGTCCTGAAACCAGTCTCTCACTCTTAACTTGGATAAAACCACTTCTTTCTATCCCTCAGGTTCCTTAACTACAAAATGAAAGAGTTGGATTAGATGACCTCTTGGGTCCCTTCCAGCTATAAAATCCTGTGATATCATCTAGAATGAAAGTTGTGGGGGCAGGGGGAGAAAGGGTCAAGTAAAAGGCCTTGATAAAATCCCCATTTAGAGCAGAGGCCCATGGTCTTCCAAGAAGTCTGCAGATTTCAGGGAGTCCATCAACTTGGATGGGAAAGATAATGACATTTTGATTTCAGTATAATTGGTTACATTAATAATCTTATGCAGTTTATTTCATCCATTTAAAAACATGATTCTGAAAAAAAGTTTCCTTGTCCAGGTCAAAGGGGCTCCTTGACATAAACATGGTAAGGAACTTCTAATTTAGAGTGGAATGAGGAAAAGCTGCCAGGAAAAAAGAAAGAAAAGAAAAGAAACAAAGAAGCCAGCCATCTCCTGAGATGAAAAAGCTCCTAGATATGGGAAGAGCACAAAGGAGGGGGGTAACATCAGATGGTGCAGAGAGATCAAGGAGGTTGAGGACTAAGACACTGGAATATCAGAACTATCCCTCTCTTCACTTACAATTCCTGGACCCAAGGTTCCAAGGTGGGGTCATAAATAGGAGCAGAGCATAAACACCTTAGCATGCTGTACCCCTATATGCAGCATCCTGTCTTTGTGCTCCTGGACAGCACAGCTTATGTCTTTTCTTTTTTTTGTATTCTCAGCATTTAGCACAGTGCCTAGCACATAATAGGTACTTAATAAATGCTTGTTGACTGACTCCAAATGTATTGATTATAGTAGTTTTATAGGATTTGGAGGTGGGGGAGAATATCGGGATCATCTAAGCTGGGCCTTCTTCTGACTTGAAATTTAGCAACCTTGCCACTACACCACAGATCAAATATTTTGTCTAAAGTTATTCAGGAAGTGAAAATTCTAAGTTGAGTTCCTCTTGGACATAGGGGCAGCTAGGTGGCACAGTAGATAGAGCACCAGGCCCAAAGTCAAGAAGATTCATCTTCATGATGGCCTCAGCCATTAGCTGTGTGACCCTGGGCAAGTCACTTGACCCCGTTTGCCTCAGTTTCCTCATCTGTCACATGGGCTGGAGAAGAAAATGACAAACCACTCCAGTATCTTTGCCAAGAAAACCCCAAATGTGGGGACACAAAGGGTCTGAAACAACTGAACAAAAACAACATTGCAAACCTTAAAATACTATATACGATGGCTCTTGTTGTTATTATTATTAATCTGCCATTCACAGTTCCCCTTGGTTCCATTCCCCCCTGCTGTCCCTATCGAACTGTTTATGGATGGAATTTTCACTCTGAAACTGAGCCAACGTTTTTGTTTTTTAACAACTAGATACAATGGGAAACGTTGTTATCCAAGTTGTTATGCCTTTGATTAAGCTGTGTGGATAGTATACTCAGCCTGGCATCAGGCAAAACTGGTTTTGAATCCTGCTTCAGACACTTTCTGGCTGTGTAACCATGGGCAAGTCACTTAACCTAACTGTGCCTGCTTCCTCCTTTGTAAAACAGGGATAAAAATACCTGTCATACCCATCTCACTGGGTTGTTGTGTGGCTCAAGAGAGATAATGTATATGAAGTGCTTTGGAAAATCTAGCACACTGTATAAATGCCAGTTTTTATTCTTTCTCTGGGACTCTATTTATGAACAAAGCTTCCATTTTCTGTAAATTGAAGTTAAAAGGGTGGCAGCATGATGGAAGGAGTATTCATCTGGGACTGAGGAGATCTGGCTTCAGATCCTGACTCTGCCACTACCTCGATGTGTGGTCTTGCACAAATCTCTGCCCTACCCACCCCCAGCCTCAGTTTCTTCCTCTGTAAAATAAAGTTTTTGAATTAGATGATTTCTTTGGTCCCTCCCAGTTTTAACATTCCTTGTTCCTAGGTCCTTTATAGTTCTAATGTTTTATGTCCTGTGTTCTAAGGTCCCTTCCAATGGAGAGGTAGTATGGAATCATGAATAGAATGCCTTGAAGTTAAGAAGACCTGGTTCAAATCCTGCCTCTTACACATACTAGCTGTGCAACCATAGGCAAGTCACTTAAGCCTGAGGCTCAGTTTCCTCATCCATGAAAATGAGAGTAGACCAGATGTTCTCTAAGGTCCCTCACAGTTCTAAAAACTATAAATCTATTATCTACTGTAACAGTAAAATCCTAAATATCTTTAGATTGCTACTGGTAACTTTGTGAACAGAGACTATGGGACACAGATAGAGTCATTAACATCTTCATTTTATTTATAATACAGAAGAAAAGAAAGGGGGGGGCACGATACTGTCCCATTTCAGACAGATCAAACTCCAGTTTAGCCGTGTAAACTGAATTTTTTTAAAAAAGAAAACAAAACAATCTGTACAGTAGGAACATCACAATAGACTTAACGGCTGTGGACGAATATTTGTGCGAGGCTGCTATTTATATAGTGCATCAAAATCTAATATCATTGACCCTCAGACAGCAGAAAGACTGTCATTAAGAAGAGGCATTTGATTTTTCTCCTTGGCCCCTGGAGGAAATTTTAGGGCCAAATGGGGAGAAAGCTATTGGAGGGCAAATTTGGGTTTAAAATAAGGAAGAACTTTCTACCATTCATAATTGTCCAATGGTGAAATGGGTTACTTTGGGAGATAGTGAGTTTCCTGTCAGCAGAGGTGTTCAAGTGAAAGTTGGATGACTACTTATAGAAGATTCTAAGAAAGAGTTTATGCTTCAGGTAAGGAACTGGATTAGATGGCTTCCATAGTCCCTTCTTTCCTTGAGATTCTAGGATTCAATCGGCCTGCTATGGCTCCCAGCGCTACAGCTTTGTAAGGCTGGCTACCATCATTCTGAGGCGCCTAGGGAACCAATTTGACTTTTGAATTGTTTCATCACCACATTTGTTTGTTTTTGAGATGCTGGTTGGAAAGGGTGGTCATTAAGGCATTCTTTCATTTTCTGTCTGTTGCTTCTAGACTGCCTCAGTCCAAGTCAATCCCATATGGTGAACCATATGGTGTGGGTTCTCAGCAGCTGATACGGTGACTCAAGTGACTGATCATTCCTCACCTCATCAGTCTGAATCCACCACAGTTCATCTAGGGTAGGAGAAGGATGCTGATCATTTTAATTAGGCTAACGAGGGCCCAGGGAACAGGTTTGCATTTTAAGCTTGTTGAATCTTTCCCTTAAAGTTTTGGAACTCAGAATGGGTCTTGATCCAAGCATAAATTCTCTATTCATATTCAACTCTACATAAATATTTAAGGAAGCATATTTCACATGCTCCTGATTCATTCAGTGTCCCCTCAATCAACATTATTATTGGTAATAAAAATTGTAGTTTCCTCAAGGTCCTTTTCCCCTATTAATTGGCTGTGGAAGGGGGAGAGAAGGAGATCAGTATTCAAAGATGTGTTTCCAAACAGAACCATCCAAGGTTCAAAGAATGTCAAGACTCTTTTCCCATTAGAGAATAAATTAAGAGAAAGATCTTGGGATAAGCTCTAACAAAGAGTAGATGAGGAATTCATATGTCGATAAATGTGAGGCTTCCTTGAGGATAGCGACATTAAATTTACTTAAATTTGCCTTCCTTCCAGCACCCATAACAGGTGCCACACACATTAGGCCTTAAATAAATGTTTGTTGAGGGGATGGATAAATGGTGGAGGACAGCGCAGGCCCTCACATTCTTTAGAGGGTATTTAGAGTACATTCATTAGAGGACTCAATCATTTTGGTTACCTGGAATTCAGGAAATATATTTATGTAAGAGTGTCTGGGTAGGCAAGTACTGTTCTATCAGACTCAGACTACATTTCCCAGAAGGATTTGGGGGCAACAAGGGCTGGGTCCTAAAAACTCTTTGTCAGGGGCCCATGAAGCGGAATACACACTCTTTGGCCCAGTCATTGAGGAGATGGAGTCCAGAGACAGAGTGCCTACACTCATAGGTGTCTGCTAACGGGCTTTGTACAGGACGAAGATACATTGGTCCCTTACAGGTAAGGTATCCTGAGGGGGAAAAAACATCAAAATCCACTGGTTTGGGGGGTATCGGGTGCTTTTTGTTTCTTGTGTGGGGGGGGGGTGTATCTGTCTGTCTGTGTCAGTCTGTTTTGGTACCACAAGGATAAAATATCTCAGTTCCACCGCAGTGAGATCCAGAAACGAATGGAAGATGAGATTGAAACCAACATGCCTCTCCCTGCTACTAAGCTCAGACGCAGACACCGCCTGGACCTGGAAACACTGGGTACCACTGAAGTGGGCTTAGACCTTTCTTCTGTATAAAACATGCAGCCAAGCACGGTGTATAGGTATGGTTTGATTAGTCCAGACAAGAAGTAGATCAGCTCCAAGCTCTTTTCTGCTGAGGGCTGAGGGGAGACTCTATAGGCCAGAGACCTCCCCTGAGTAGGCATTGGGGTCTTCCTCGGATCGCGTCACCACTTTGAACTGCCGCCGAAGGAAGCCTCCGTACCTCTTCTGATTGTCCCACTTGAGCTTGGGGCGGATCCTTCGCATGAAGCCCCCGTAGCGCTTGTGCAAGTCTTCCTGCTCCTGGCCGTCACCGGCCCCGGCCACCTCGAAGCTCCTCTTGGGATACTTGCGCAGGAAGCCCCCGTAGCGTTTCATCTCATCCTTTGGGGTTGCAGCCGAAGCGGCTGCCGCGTCCTCGCTAGGATAGCCCAGCTCTCCGCTCTCCAAGGCTCTGTGGTACTGCTGCGCATCTTCCATCATCTCGGACCCAGCCCGTTCACCGAGCCTGGGGAGGAGTGCCCCGTATCTGTGGCTCGGGCCTCTGCCGTGGGCGTTCTCCCGCATCAGGACGTTGGCAAACTTCTCCATGGTCTTGGTGAGCTCTGGGTAAGGCTTAGACTGCTCAGCATATAGTTCTTCAGAGGCCACCGACATGTCTCCAACCTCTCCTTTCCCACGAAGGCCCAGCATAAAAGGAGTGAATAGCGACAGAAAGCTCTTACACTTCTCCCATTCCGTGTTAGACGGCAGGATGGTCTGACACTCCAGGAAACACGTCTGCAGCACACCAAGCAAGAAGACAACAAGTCGGCTGAGCAACAAGCATTGATTAAGCATTTACTCAGTGCCTGGCACTGTACTAAGCACTGGGGATACAAAGAAAGGTGGGGAGAGTCCTTGTTCTCAAGGAATCCAGTTTAATGGGGAGACAACATGCAAATAACTACATACAAACAAGATATGTGTGTACGTATATATACATATGTATGTATATGATAAATGAGATAATCTCAGAGGAAAGATTCAAATGCTAGCTCTCAGCTCTCCAATAAGATCATAATATTGACAGATGGAAAGGACCTTTGTGATCATCTTAACATGTGCTATACTATTGAGGAGTGGGCCAACACAAAATTGGTCAACTCAAGTTATGGTAGGCCTAGTAGCAGGAAAGGACTCAGGGATGGAAAATTAGTTTCTTGCCCAATCTCTTGAAAGAAAGACCTATGCTGTCAGAAGTAGACTGAGATCCCTATGACATTTTCTAGAAGGCCCTGACAGTCTATGTCCTAAGGTCTCATGCACATCAAATGTACTATGATTCCATGATTCTCTAGTAAACCTATGGAAAGTTATCTGTGGGCAGCTAGTTGGTGCAGTGGATAGAACACCCACCCTGGAGTCAGGAGGATCTGAGTTCAAATCTGGCCTCAGACACTTGACACTTGCTAGCTGTGTGACCCTGGGCAAGTCACTTAACCCCAATTCCCATCCCCCAAAAAGGAAAGGAAAGCAATCTGATTACTTGATAGGTCAGGTCTGTTTATGCTGACCTTCCCCCATGCTTCCTCAAAACAGTTCAATCATCTGTGACCCAGACAATACCTAGAATAACAATAACATACTCAACACCTACCAGTGGGTTGATGTGCTGGTCCAGGTTTTGAGTTTGCACAGCACACATGGAGCACTGGGCCGGGCAATCTGCAGAGACTGAGGGAAATGTGCTGAGGCAAAGAATAAGAATCAGGACCTGCCACTCCATTTTGTTCTGAAAACACCTCCTACATAGGGAGAAAGAGAAACACAGGGACCAGAGACAAGGTCATCAGGTGCTCCAAAACCTACTCTCTGGCCTGTGGAAAATTTGAACAGTGTTGGGTTCTTTTGACTCTTGCCTCCCTTCATCTTCACCTAGTCTGCCATCAAATCCTGCCTTTTCTTCTTTGGTAACATCTCTGGAACTCATTCTTTCTTCTTCATCCCTACTGGTCCCACTCTAGAATTACAGAAGCCTAGAATGTCAGAGCTAGAAGGGAATTTTGAACATAGAATATTAAGTCTGGGAGGGACTTTAGAATATAGAACATGGCATGTCAGAGTGAAAAGGAATCTGATTTGATTCTTTCATTTTACAAATGGGGAAACTGAGGCCAAGAGAGTGAGTGACTTGCCCAAGATCAAACCACACAGTAGCATGGTTCAATGGAAAGAGTCATGGCCTAGAAGTCAGTAGTACTGGGGTCTGGACTCTGCTTTGTCACCAACTTTCTGTATGACCTTGGGCAAGTCACTTCCTCTCGGTGCCTCAGGTTTTTCCTCTATAAAATTAAGGTGTTGAATTAAATGATTTCTATGGTCCCTTCAAGTTTTAATGGTTAGTGATTCTCCTCAAAGATGGTAATCTCACTTTAAACCATGAACTGAGCTCCAGTTCTGAGCTTGGATCATTTGTTAGCAGATGGGTAGGGGGTTTCTCCCATTGACATCTCAAAGTTCTCAGCACTACTTGCTACTTCAAGTTCATTTCAAGCCAACACACGGAGAGGGGAACTGGGTGGGGTAGGGAGGAAGGGAGAAGGAAAAGAAAATAGGAATTATAGGACAGAGAAGGAAAGGAAAGATAAACAGCAAAGGAGAGAGGGAAAGGAAAGGAGAGAAGGGAGAAGAGAAGAGAGGGAGGGAGGGGAGGAAAGAAGAGAGGAGGAAAAGAGAAGTGAAAGGAGAGGAAAGAAAAAAGGAAAGAAATAAAGGGGGAAGGAGGTGAACCAGAACCCAGCCAGAGAGTGGGGAGAAAGACAAGGAAGAAAGATAAGATAAAGAGAGAAGACAGGGCTGAAGACTAACGGTGTTTTTCTGCTATGTTTACACATTTTCATTTGATGAAATACTCAATTATTGTTACCATGATACCATTGAAGGGTTCAAGTAACAGAATCACTGAGTTCCTCTCCCTTCTGGCCTTGAATTAATGGAATTCAGAGTCAGCACAGCTATTTCAGGCCAGACAGTGAAGAGGAAAGGGAAAATGGAGATCTCATTCTGGGAGGACAGGGTTGATAGATCACATAAGGTCTAGCTACTAACCCTCAATCCACAGGCTTTTTCTGTGGGTTGGACTAAACATCTATTATAAAACAGAATAGGTATGCTCCGAAACATGATGATCACCTCTATGGATCACCTCCGTGCCTTAGGAGATGCCTTTTATGAATTACTGTGGCAAAAAGTAATCATTTCACTTTCCAGGGGCTAAGCTCCTAATGATCCTCCCCCTCTATTTATCAGAGCAATAAATACACAGTCCATCTCTCAGTTTGTACTTAATTAGCTTGGTATGACTGGCCAGTGATTACATTTTACTGGCAGAAGCCTCAAGAGTCCAGAGTCACTCTGAACACCATACAGTGAGTCACAGGAAGAGGTCTTAGGAAGATGACTACTGTATTGGTCAAATACAGGCTGCCCTTTTACTTCCAAATATGATTTGTATCATTCTGTATGCTATCTACAATTAGATTTATTTTTCATCATATACATAGATATACAGGGTGTCCCAAAAGTCTTAGTGCAGGTTTAAGCTGATTAAAGTCTAATGCTACACTAAGACTTTTGAGACACCCTATAAAAAACCATTTTTTTTTTAAGTTCACAGACCACTGAAATATTTCACCTTTATTTGGTTCAGTATTCCAAGTAAGAATGTATAGTAGTTAGGACACCGGACCACGAGTCGGGAAGACCTGGATTCCAATCCTGCCTCAGACACTCGACCCTCGGCTTGACATTTAAACTCTCTGGGCCTCAATTTCCTCATGAGGGGACTGGACTTAGCAGCCTCTAAAATCCTTTCCCTCTCTAGATCTCTGACCATGATACGGACCCAAGTCATTTGACTCGAAGCCTGGTGCTTTTTAAAATTACTGTGAGACATCGAGAATATATCATTGACTTGATAACAATAAATTATATTTTTCTATTGCTGTAAGGCTTGTGAAATGCTTTCTTTATACTATCTCATTTAAGCCTCACAGCAGCCTGTGAGGTAGGCATTACTACATCCATCATGGATGGGCTACGTTTCTGTTCTGGGCCCACACAACTACAGAGTTTTAGAGTTGGAAGGGACTTCACAGTCATCTAATCCAGCTCACTCCCAACAATACACACAATCCCCATTATGACCAACCTGTAGTCATCCACCCTCTTTTTGAGGATGAAAATTGCAGTAAGATGGAATCCACTGCCTCCCAAGGAAGCCCAGTCCACTATTGGAAAACTATTAGGAAGTTTTTCCTGACATCAGGGTGAAATTTCCCTCTGTCAGTCAATAGGCATTTATTAAGCACCACTGTGTACCAAGGCACTGTGCTAAGGACAGGGATATAAAGAAAGGCAAATGACAGTCTTTGCCCTTCAGGAGCTCATGGTCTAATAGGGGAGAAGACATGCAAATAATTATGTACAAGCAAGCCACAGACAGGGTATAGCTTCCCCCCATTGCTTTTGGCTCCTGGTCTCCTGGAAGCCCTAGCTACCTTCAAGGCCCAGATTATGTGCTACTCTCTACATAGGTCTTTACTTGGTCCTTCCAGTTTTAAGTTCTCTCTCTTACTCTGAAATTATTGTATATTTATCATACATATAATTTATTTATCATGTTTATACATATGTACATATATACACACATATTGTACATTTATTTGTTTGTTTACTTGTTGAGCTCTCTGTATACATGCTGTTCCCTCCCAACCTTGCCCTCACCCACGTAAGTTCCTTGAAGGCAAGGTCTCTTTACTTCTTGTCTCTACATTCCCTGTACCCAGCTCAGTGCCCGGCACATGGTGACTGCTAGTGGATGTAAATGAATTGAATCCCAGCCCAGGACTCTCTCTGCTAAATGATGCTGTTCCAATAATGTTACCCTATGAAATGATGCTAAGTGATAAGCTAATTACTCCCAGGCTCATCTCCACTAAGACAAAACAAATTCAACATCCTTCATACCACTCATAGGACCAGGCATTGTAGCTCTCTGTGTTCATAGTGGGCCAAGGAGGTCAATGGGAAGCAATGGACCTATTAGTATCCACAGTATTCATGAAAACCTGATGAGGTATGATTTGCCATCTGTATTGAGAGGCAAACGTGAAGATCACTTAGTTTCATAATGAGTGAGACACAGCAAACAAAGGGCTTAAGTCCCTGCCTGGGAGAGGTCAGTCACAACTTCATTTCAGGCTAATATCCAGAGGAAGGAACAATGGAACAACAGAGCAGAGGTCAATATCACTGCATGACGAATTGAAAATAGTTTTAAAATAACCCTTTTCCAAGGAGGGCATCTAAATCGGGCACATTCTCATTTAGGTGAGTGAGGAGAGGGTGAGAAAAAAATGGTGAGTGGAGAGTAGGCTAGTTGAGTCATGGGAGTGAGGGGCAAAATCATACAATTTGGAATCTGAGGACCCACATTTGAATCCTAGCTCAATGATTTCCTACCTCTGTGAACTTGGGCAAGTCACCTTGCCTCTCTGAGCCTCAGTTTCTTTATCTGCAAGATGAGAGTGTCAAACTAGATGATCTCTAAAGTTTTTTGGTGCTAATGATGATTTTGTGGGTATAGGAAACTCCAAGCAAGGAAACTCCCCTACCAATGTATATTGACACCTCCATCTCATAGATTTGGAGAGTTGCCTGGGGCACAGAGAAATTGTGACACAACCAATAGGCATCAGAGGTGGTACTTGAACCCAAATCTTTCCAAACCTGAGGCCAACTCTCTATCTGCTATGCCAGGATGCCTCTTATGCTGTATGCACTATTTTTACTGTTCAGTCATTTCTGACTCCTTATGACCCCATTTGAAGTCTTTTTGGCAAAGAGGTTTGCCATTTCCTTCTCCAGTTCATCTTACAGGTGAGGAAACTGAGGCAACCAGGGTTAAGTGACTTGCCCCGGGTCACATAGTTAGTCTGAGGTCATTTTTGAACTCAGGTCTTCCTGACTCCAGGCCTGGTGCTCTATCCACTGCACCAGCTAGCTGCCCATTCTAAATACTATAGTAGGTATTTAATAAATGTCTGTTCAATTAAATTGACTAATAGAGAAACAATCTGAACAAGAACTATACTGAGAAAAAGACAGCTAATCAATACAGGAGAAGAAACATGTAAAATGAGAATGATGCAGAAGGAAGGGGAAAACAGAGGGAGGAAGTAAGTAAACAAAATGGAATAAAGAAATGTACAAGTGATCAAGATAGGTGGGGAAAGAAGAGATGGGAAAATTACAAAAGCAGTGGAGAAGGGGAAAGAAGAAGGAAGGATAAGATAGAAAATATGTTGCTTTAGAAGCTTAAATTTATATAGAGAATTAAGTCAAATTTATAAGAATACAAGTCATTCCCCAATTGATAAATGGTCAAAGGATATAAACAGGGAGTTCTCAGATGAAGAAATTAAAGCCATCTATAGTCATATTAAAAAATGTTCTAAATCCCTATTGATTAGAGAAATGTAAATCAAAACAACTCTGAGGTACCACATCACACCTATCTAATTCTTACTTACAACACCACTAATGTGAAAATATGTTTAATAAGAATGTATATGTATTGCCTATATCAGATTGTGCGCTGTTTTGGGTAGGGTGGTGGGGAGGAAGGGGGAGAAAAATTTTAAACTCAAAAGCATATGGAAGTGATTGTTGATAAATCAAAATAAATTAATAAAAAAATTTTAAAAAGAAGCTTAAATTTCCATA